TTTTATTATTTTGTTCACACAACTAGAACTTTGTTTTGGTGGGGTTTTTATTTTCTGCTAAATTAACAAAAAAAACCCCATGTTTTTCTTTGTTTCTTTTATAAAAGTTTGCAAATAAATAATTGTTCTTGATATACAGTATTTAGACAAAGATGTATTTTGCTACATTTCTTTGGTGAAAATAACCCAAATCAGTATTTATTATTTAGTCTGTAGGAAAGTTATCGAATTCACAAACTATGGGATAGATCTGAACATTGATCAATCCTGAAGTACTGACAGCCAATCTAATTTCTTGAGGTCCAAGAATGTCAGAACAGTACAGATATCCCCAAAATGACCCCTTTTTGAAAAGCAGACAATCCGACGTATTTCATAACAGGCACAACATAGCAAAGATGTAGCAGAATACATTTTGGGCTAAATTTATACCGAAATTTTATTTATTTTTTTTTTTTTACTGGACATGTTTAATAGCAAAAAGTAAAAAATATTGTTTTTTTTTTGCAAAATTGTCGCTCTTTCTTTTTAATAGCGCAAAAATTTAAAAAAAACACGGGCGATCAAATACCACTAAAAGAAAGCTCAATTTGTGGGGGGAAAAAAGGACGTAAATATAATTTCCTACTCAGGAAGGGGGGTAAATCCTCTGGAGAGCAAGTGGTTAAATTAGCATCAGTGTTCTTTTTCTGTCAGTGTGTTTTAGGTAAAATAAAGAAAAGCACAACGCACACCATTGTTTCTGAGCCTGACTACAGGTACATGCAGCAACTGTAGAGGACAATTGTTTTGTACTTGCCCTTATGTTGAGCCTGCGTGTATCAATGCTCCTGGCGTGATCGATCCCTTAATGTTTGGGGTGTCATTCACTATGAAGCTCATGATATTTCATACTCAAGGTCTTGATTATTTAAGTCACAGAATTATGGCAACCTTGTAAGTAGTAGGTGAGCAGCAAGAGACTAATGAGATCTAAAGAAAGCACAAGGAGTATTAATAGGATGGAGTAAGACAGAATTAGAAGAATGGAAGAATGATGGTCCCATGCAGTGAAGTACAAGTTCAATCAATCAAAAAATCCAACGAGGAGGATGAATAGAGCTTATAAATATCACAGCACCCACTAACATTTAAATCTTATTTCATAAACAGCAGGCTCTGGCAATTTGTATTCATTGCTAGTGGAGCTTTATCTCAAAAGCTAATGGATACATTTTAAGTGAATAGTAGGTATTTTGAGCCATAAACACCAGAAGTGGGGAAATGGTGACATAATTAACACGTATTGCTGAGATAAGTGCCATGATCACTCTTTTCTTTCTGAAATATATATATAGTGTAAGAAAGAAGAATGAAAATGCATAAAGGCAGAGGCATGATGGGACTTGTAGTTCACCAACAGCTGGAGGGCCACAGTTACCCACCCCTGCCTTAATTATTATTATTATTATTATAATTATTATAAATACTGTATAATAATAATAATTGATTACGGCATTGTGTATTCCTCTCTGTAAAAGGTACAGGACATGTATTTTGGACAAGTGATCTTTTTGTCTGGTGTTGCTTGTTTCATAGGCTGGTTATAGAGGTATGGGTACAGTGTTGCATGACTGCACAATTGTCATTCAAAGTGCAACAGCGCTGAAAGCTGAAGATTGGTCTGGGCAGGAAGGAGGTAAAAGTGCCCGGTAGGCAAGTGGTTAAAGAGCAAATCCAAGCAACAAGTGAAAGCAGATGACAAATATTGGACATATAAAAAATAAAATATTGGTAAAACGCATATGAGGGGTTTTTTTTTGTTTTTTTTTTTTTTTTACACCACCACTGTTTATTCACCCTGACCTTACCAAATGACAAATGCAATCATTTGGATAAAGGCATAGGCTGTATATACACAGTGATGGGGTGCAGACAGTTTGCTGCATTCAGCCTGGGCTCACACTGATGATGTGCAGCACATCGCATGTGATTCACACAGGAACCGCACCGCATTCCTGTGCAAATCACACGGTATTCCTGTGCGGTGCAATCTGAGCCATACATTTTGTATGTCTCAAATTGTACCGCATCCACACACTGAAAAAGTGCAGGACCCTTTTTTAGTCTGCACCAGAATCAGATCGCATGGGTGTTCACACCCATGCGATCCAATTCTGCACATCGCGCCGTGTTTTGTGAACTGATTACGGGTGTCGTTAACTTAAAATACACACCCGCAGTGGTTAATATGAACGTAGTGCGATTATGATGCAGTGCAGAAATCTCACAGAAACCAGTGCAAATTCCTCACCAGTGTGAACCCAGGCTCAGAGGGGCTAAACACTGTCTCTGGACTCAGGAACACTGGGGATTATTTACTAAAACTGCATGGTGCAAAATTTAGTGCGGCTCTTCAGCTTCCAGTTTTTATTGTCAAAGCTTAACTGAACAAGCTGAAATTAGAAGCTGATTGGCTACCATGCACAGCTTCACCAGATTCTGAGTGCTCCAGTTTTAGTAAATCTCCTCCTCTGTGTCATGGCTGCATACCAACTGGTGGATTAGCTGTGGTCAGTTTGTGTGTAGTCAAAACTCTGCAGAAATGCCAACCATGGATGCACACTTGCTACATCCAGAGTCGGTCAGAGGCTTTATTTGTATGTAATTGCTCAGAAAAGTGGTTACATGTGAACAGTGGTGACACTGACCATTGACTTGTACAGAGTACAAATTTCACAGCTGTCTGTCAGCAGCAGCTTTGTGAACACACTGGGGTTTATTTACTAAGTCTAGCTTCACACCTATCCGTTTTCTGAAGCGTTTTGCAGAAACACAATACAGTCCACTTAACATGATTTCCTGTGGGACAGGTTCACATCTCCGCGTTTTCACCCCGTGCATTTTTGGAAAGGGTCAGGGAATTTTTTATACGCAAAAAGTTGCGTTTGTGGTTCTATAGACTTCAACGGATACGCTGCAGAAAAACATGTAGTGCATTTTTTCTGTGTTTTTGATCGTGGTGCACCAAAATTAAAATTCGGGTGCCGAAACCAAAAATTCAAAATGCACTTGGCCAAAACCGAAATGCGCAGTTTTTAAAAATGAAATTTTTTTTTTAATAAAATACAATTGATTAAAAAAAAACAATATATACCCCCAATTGTTTTGTAAAATATGTAAGAGGATGTTACAGCGAGTAAATAGATACCCAACATGTCATGCTTTAAGATTGCGCACAATCGTGGAATGGCATGAAATTGTGGTACTTAAAAATCTCCATGGGTGATGCTTTAAAAATGTCTGCAGGTTAGCAGTATCAAGTTACAGAGGTCTAGTGTGAGAATTTTTGCTCTTGCTCTGACGTTCGTGGTGATAACTCACGTGTGTGATTTGAACATATATGGGCATAGCCTACGTATGCGTTCACCACTATGTGCGAGCATGGGGAAACGGGGGCACTTTAAACTTTTTTAAAAAAATGTATGTAATGGTTTTTTATGTTTGCACTGTTCCTTTTAAAAAAAATTTAAATCACTTTTATTCTTATTACGAGAAATGCATGCATCCCTTGTGAGAGAAAAAATTTGTGACAGGTCCTCTTTATGGAGAGATATGGGGTCAATAAGACCCCACATCTCTACTCTACAATGTAAAGCATTAGATAAAAAAAAGCATTGATCTAGTGCTTTAACCTCCTCAGCGGTATGATTCTTTCCGATTTTTTGTGCTGAAAGCGGTACCATTTTTTTGCATTAAATTTGTAGTTTTTTTTGTAGGCTGTCATTTTTAGGAATAACTCACTGAAATCTGTCCGAACAAGAGTCTAGTAAACATCCCAGGTATGATAAAATTTGAAACACAAAATCATAAATTATAATTTAATAAATAATCATAAAAAATAATAATATAATGATAATAAATTTAATTCAATAATATAATCAAACCAAAAACACTGAAATTTGAAATAGAGCGCCAAGTTCGCACATCACTGAGCAAAGTCGCAAAATCGTTTTCAGTGTCTGATGATGAATTTCCCCCCTGAATCATTATCACTCAATTCTGCAAGTGGTTCTGATTTACTATCGTTGTTCTCTAGCCGGTCTAAAACCACTTTTGACGTAAAGGGACGCTTTTTGGATGCCATGGACATTTCTAAGTTTCCAGGCAGAAAGAACAGTCAAAATGCAGGCAGGGCACAGGACAAAGCAGTGGGGACAAAATGTATGTGAAATGCATTGAAACAGCAATGTTTTACTATGTAATAATAATTTTTTAAAAAAAATTACATTTTTTAATAATTTCAAATTTGCCGCCGGTTCCGGCGTCCGTACATCCCGACGTCACAGGGACCGGAATACGGAAGCCGGATGCCGGCATCGGCCGCAGGAGATGGCCGGGGACGCTGCAGGGGACACATCGCGGGAGCGAAGGACAAGGTAAGTGCTGCAGGGAATCCCTGAGCAACGCCGCATGGTAAGCCCGAGTGTAGCTCGGGGCTACCGCTTTTGGTACTGAAACTTTACCCCGAGCTACACTCGGGAATACCGCCAGGGAGGTTAAACAAAATCAAATGGCCGGAACCGGAAGTGACATCGCTCCGGTCCTCCAAGGGCATAGAGATGTGTGGCGGCCATCTTTCCTTCTCTCATCTCTATGCCCAACACCGGGATCGATGGTTTCTCAGGTAAGACTGAACGACCGAGCGGCGGAGAGGTGGCAGCGGCGAGGGGCGGGGTTTTTTCAGCACCTGTATTGGTGCTTTTTTTTCATTTCGGTTGACAGCTGAAAGGGGTGTTTTCGGCCAAAACATTTTCGGTGCATCCCTAGTTTTTATGCATTTTTTATGCATTTTTTATGCGGTTTGCATTTTAATCTGCCTAGCAACAAGAAAAAAAAAAAAAAAAAGTAAAACGCATAAAAAACGCATCAAGAATGCAAAACGCACCACAAAAAGCACTGCAGAAACGGATAAAACGCAAACTTCATAGGTGTGAACCTAGCCTTAAAGTGTTACTAAACCCAGTACACTGCCTTCACTATATCTGGTCTCCCACAATACACAGAACATGGAAATGCAATTATTTTAGTAAATATAAACTGCTAAATACCTTTTCTAATTAGCAGTTAGAGCAGTCTTGTGACTTCTATCAGTGTCCAGCAGAGCACTAGCTAAAGCTTGTAGAAGGAGTTTTCTTTCTGCTCTAGGAGGATGCAGAACTCCTGACGTCTGTCTGACCAGTGCTGATTGGCCCTGCGCTGATCACAAAAAAAACCCTTTAGCAATACCCACCAAACTGAGCATGTGCAGAATGCCTACGGTTCAGTCTGTCTTATCAGGAGATAAAAGGGGGACACCGGAAGAAGGGGAGGATCAGAGAATTCAGGATCAAACAGCCTTTTTACACAGTGCAAATGATTAACCCCTTAGGTTCCACAGTGAGTATAACAAGCATGCTTTACTGCATATACACACACTGATTTCACTGTTGTAGGCTTAGTAACACTTTAAGCTAGTTCACTCAGAATCTGGTGTAGCTGTGCATGGTAGCCAATCAGCTTCTACCTTCAGCTTGTTCAATAACGCTTTAACAATAAAACCTGGAAGCTGATTGGTTTCTATGCAGAAGTGCACGAGAGTCTGTGATCCAGCTTTAGTAAATAAACTGTATGCAGGCAGTGTTTAGAGCCGCCGGTGAGAATCTAGTGATTTTTGCCAGAGGTCACCCCTGACCTCTTCTGTGTGAATTAGCCTTAAGCTGGCTATACAAGTGTAGATTTTCAACTGAGAATATTTGTAAGAAAAGTCGTACGATAATTCTTTGCACATTCATTGAATTGTCGAATGTCGTTTGAAAATTGTCTTTTGCTTTTAAAAATGAAAAATGAATGTCATTTCTGAACGATAACCACATACACCGGCCGAAAATTGGTTTGATCAAGAAAAGTTTTCCTTCCTGCCCGTTTGAATTTTCCTATCACTGCTGTCAAAAACAAACATTGATTTGACCCCACTAACGATTAGAAAATCAAACAAATATTCTTGAAACGAAAATTCTTGAACACAAATCTGTACGTGCATGGCCAGCTTTAGTGTGTCAAACAATTTTTGACAGGTAAATAGTACATTTTTGTATAAGGCAAGGTTCACATATATGTGGTGCGGTCAGGGGCGGACTGACCATTTGGAAACTCAGGCACTGCCCAAGGGCTCGGGGTCAGTAGGGGGCCCCATGAGATGCCCCTGGTACCTTTTTCTTGGGTTTTTTGAGTTTGGGCAAGGACACAGGGGCCCCATGATCCGCTATTGGCCGGGGACCCCATGAGTTGTCAGTCCGCCCCTAGATGCGGTATATCGCATGTGATTCACACAGGCACCGCACTGCATTCCTGTGTAAATCACATGTGATTTGTGTGCGATGCGATTGGAGCCATATATTATGTATGGGTGCAGGATCCTTTTTGGGGTCTGCACTAGAATCAGATTGCATGGGTATTCACACCTATGCGATCCGATTCTGCACATCGTGGTGTTGTTAACTTAACATACACACCCGGATCGGTTCGCATGAATGGGGTGCGATTCTGATGTGGTGCAGAATTCACACAGAAAATGCTGCAAATTCGTCACCGCATCAGTGTGAACCCAGCCTGAAGGTCGATGCATCAGAGCAAAAAGAGGAACAATTGAGGAGGAAAGAGGGACAGAAGAATTTGCTTCCAAAAGCAGGATGAACCCTTCAAATGATGGACAGTTGGGAGCCATGAACACCTAATCATTTTCAGAGCAAATCTTCGAAAATGACATTTACATTTTGCATTACAAATAATTTCTGTATACATGTATATAGTGTACATACTGTATATATGAATGCAGTATATGACAGGCTAAGCTGGAATTTGTCCTGTAAGAATCAAAAAAATGGCGTTCTGATAGAAACCAGAGAAACATTTAACATTTAACATACCTGTATGCTCAATTGTGGGATTCTGATGACAGGGTCCTAATTCAGATATTCAGTATACATTGATGTTTCTACTAATGTAGCTGATACTGTCTGCTGTATACAGTTTGTATTCTTGCCAACTAGTAACTAGCTGTGGTTAAATCCAAGCTGACCCAAGCTTAGCTGCTCCGCCCTGAATTAACTGAAAGTGTCATACCTATACAAAAGAAAAGGCAGCAGTTTGTTTATAGTGGAAAGTAGGGCAAATCAGCTGAGGAAAGCAACTGTAATCCAAGCAGACAAGAGTCAGGTAGCAACCTGAGGCCTGAGCAAACACCCTCAGGCATAAAGCATTGTCACTGATCACCTGTTTAGAGATCTGTTCCCAGTTTGTTTGGCTACTTTTCAGACTATCCAGCACATGGGTGTGTGTAACAGAATTCTGTGTGCTCTACATCCACTTACTGCCCTTTCCTAGTATCGTATTGCTACTACTAATAATCCATAAAGTAGCATTGATTATAGAAAACAAAATAGCTGCAATAATTACTAGTAAAAGGGCAGAAGGGATTTTGACTGGTGGAATTAGGTGATACGAGGACCTGTGAGCAGTCCTTGCATTTTTCTTATCCTCTCCTTCAGCCCCTTTCACACTGTTTTGTCTTGAAAGCATTTACATTTACACGTGTTTTCACACTGAGGAGTTTTTGAAGCGTTTTTGTGTTAAAAGAAAAGCGCCTGAAAAGCTCAAGAAAAATGCTTCCCTATGTCTGTGAACGTACAGTGGATATAAAAAAAAAGTCTACACACCCCTGTTAAAATGTCAGGTTTCTGTGATGTAAAAAAATGAGACAAAGATAAACCATTTCAGAACTTTTTTTCCACCTTTAATGTAACCTATAAACGGTACAACTCGGTTGAACAACAAACTGAAATCTTTTAGGTGGAGGGAAGTAAAACTAAAAACTAAAATAATATGGTTGCATAAGTGTGCACACCCTTAAACTAATACTTTGTTGAAGCACCTTTTGATTTTATTCCAGCACTCAGTCTTTTTTGGTATGCGTCTATCAGCATGACACATCTTGACTTGGCAATATTTGCCCACTCTTCCTTGCAAAAACACGCCAAATCTGTCAGATTGCGAGGGCATCTGCTGTGCACAGCCCTCTTCAGATCACCCCACAGATTTTAGATCAGATTCAGGTCTGGGCTCTGGCTGGGCCATTCCAAAACTTTAATCTTCTTCTGGTGACTTCATTCCTTTGTTGATTTGGACGTATACTTTGGGTTGTTGTCATGCTGAAAGATGAAGTTCTTCTTCATGTTCAGCTTTCTAGCAGAAGCCTGAAGGTTTTGTGCAAAATATTGACTGATATTTGGAGCGGTTCATAATTCCCTCTATCATGACTAAGGCCCCAGTTCCATCTGAAGAAAAACAGCCCCAAAGCATGATGCTGCCACCACCATGCTTCACTGTGGGTATGGTGTTCTTTTGGTGATGTGCAGTGCTGTTTTTGTGCCATACATACCTTTTGGAATTATGGCCAGAAAGTTCACCCTTGGTTTCATTAGATCATAACACATTTTCCCACATACTTTTGGGAGACTTCATTTGTGTTTTTGCAAAATTTAGCCGGGCTTGGATGTTTTTCTTCGTAAGGAGAGGCTTCCGTCTTGCCACTCTACCCCATAGAGCCCAAATATATGAAGAATACAGGACATTGTTGTCACATGTACCACACAGCCAGTACTTGCCACATATTCCTGCAGCTCATTAAATGTTGCTGTATGCCTCTTGGCAGCCTCCCAAACCAGTTTTCTTTTCATCAATTTTGGAGGCATGCCCAGTTCTTGGTAATGTCACTGTTGCGCCATATTTTCTCCACTTTATGACTGTCTTCACTGTGTTCCATGGTATATCTAATGCCTCGGAAATTATTTGGTACCCTTCTCCTGACTGATACCTTTCAACAATGAGATACCTCTGATGCTTTGGAAGCTCTCTGCAAACCATGGCTTTTACTGTAGGATGTGACTAAGAAAATGTCAGGATAGACCTACTAGAACAGCTGAACTTTATTTGGGGTTAATCAGAGGCACTTTAAATGATGGAAGATGTGTACTGACTCCTATTTTATATGATTTTGAATGCGATTTCAAAAGCTACATCCCCAGTTATAAGAGGGTGTGTACACTTATGCAACCACATTATTTTAGTTTTTTTATGTTTACTTCCCCCCCTAAAAGATTTCAGTTTTTTCAATTGAGTTGTACAGTTTATAGGTCACATAAAAAGGTGGAAAAAGGTCTGAAATTATTTATCTTTGTCTCATTTTTTTACATCACAGAAACATGACATTTTAACAGGTGTGTGTAAACTTTTTATATCCACTGTATATCTATGTATAAAACAAGAACCCCGCGTCCAAATCGGTATTGAATCAAGAAGTCCTTAATCACAGTACATAGAAATTCATACTATAAGTCCTTCCATTCTTCCAAGGTTCTCACCGTAAATATTTGAAATGTCCTATTCATGTGTGACAAAAACAGTGTGCTCCTCTTCCTCCTTTCATAGCATATTAGCTCCTCATGCAAAAAATATAAACCGTATATAATGCATTATCTTTTAAATGCAATACCTCAAATATATTTTACACTCACACATAATAGTGCCAAATATCCACCATGTGCCATCACTCTAAATCCGTAATTCCTACTCTTACCCTCCAATCAAAAATCCCCGCTTTGTTAAAGGGAAGATGGATTTTGTAAATTACTTCTTTTTCATTCTTTTTCTTTCATAATAAATTGCTCTCCAAACAAACTAAATATCATATAGTGTAGTATTTTCAATACAGTGAACAACAATAGTACCAATGTGCTCACACTTTATCGAACTTTGTGACCACCAATCAGTGCACAATTCTCCTTAGGTGACCCACCACCTTACGGTTCATGTACCTTACCAGATTTTCCTAAATATGAAGCCTGGAATCTCATAGTTAACTGCTATGCTTCAAAAGATGTCCTCTAGTGCCGATATTCCACTATCATGTTGTCACATGCGATCAAACCAAATAGGCAGACCATAGTGTAGTAGATAAGATAAATCAATTTATTCAATTAAAAAAATAGTGTGTATAAAACGCCAGCATACAACACCTTTCTCTACCAAGATGAGGTCACTTTATGACGCATTTTGTCATTACGACTTGTCTAAGTCATAATGGCGAAACGCATCAAGTGACGTCAGGCGCTAACCGGAAATTCCAGTGGT